TTTTGTATCTGAAGAGGATTAAAAAAAAAAAAAAAGCCTAGATCCTTTTAACTTTGTTTTAACAGTTATATTTGACTGACCTGACAGGTCTGCAGATACATGTTATGACTTGTTCACAGGATAACTCCCATACTTGAAAAAGTCAGGTTTAGCCAAGTAACAGCATAAGCTATGAAATGAAATTAGAATGTATTTTGGAAGTGCTTATTTAAAGACAGTGGAAACAAAAACAAAAAGATGGATGGGTGAAATGAAAGGGTTTGGTGCCAAAAGTTATTTTTTTGCAGTTGTAACTATGGGGGCTCCTAAGAATGATTGTAGGAGAATCCTTAGCTGATTATTTAATAGAAAAGCAAAAAATTGGGGGAAATTTCTTGTATTTTTAAACTAAGGCCTGCTGAGGTATAATAAATCACTGCTTTTGCCAACAGGGTCTTATTATCCACAAAATAAGAATATTCACATATGCATAAAACTGAGGCAGACTAGTCCTAGTGACTTCACTACATAGTTCTCTGGTGAACTAAGCTTTCACGTCTTCTGTTTTTAATATTTCAGCCTGAGAACCTTCTTGGACAAAATGCATCACTTTTAAGAGAAGACAAGATGTTAGGAAGTCCGCCCAATGCTTCAGCTTCTTTTCTGACTCCAGAAGTTGGATATTTTAGCTGAGATATTGATAACAGTCCAAGAACTTGATGCTGAATTTTATTATATTTAGGGGAAGATGTGCAAAGTAAGGGGGATGTGCCTGCCAATGTTTGAGAAATTAGGGAAGAAAGGAGATATTTATTAGAGATTTGTATATTTATTTATTTGGCACATACACTTGCTAATCCACATTGACCTTTTAACTCCTGGATAGTATTTTAAATACAGCTTTCAGAAAGCCTGTAAACATTTGAAAATGTAAGCCGTCCTATCTCCTACTGTCACTTTCATAGGATGAATTGTTTTGGGAGCTTCCTAAGAGCAATAGGCCTTGAAAGAGCAGGACTTCAAGAAGAAATCTGGCTAGCACATACAGACAGTCCCCTACTTACAAACAGGTTACGTTCCAAGAGGCTGTTTGTAAGTCTGTTTTGTTCGTAAGTCCAACCAAGTAAGAAATTAAAAAAAAAAAGAAAAGAGACAGGGCAGCAGTGTGGGAAGAGGAGCCCTATCTTCCGCTGCCAGTGTGTCACCAGGTGAAGGAGGAGAGGGGGTGGTAGCCTCCTCAAATGCAAATGGAAGGCGGGAGAAGGCAGGAAAGGATTCGTTTGTGGTACGCTGCAAACGAAACCTTTCTCAACTTCTCCCAACTTCTGGTTCCAACTTCCGGCCCGACTTCCAGATCCAACCTGTTAGTATCGGCGAAAGTTTGCAACATGAAAGTTTGCAAGTAGGGGGCTGTCTGTATTCGTTTCTAAATTTTTTTGAGATGGCAGTTGAAGCATACGTTTCAGCGTTTGCGTACGAGACAGAATGAAATGCTTGTGTGTGACCAAACATTGGATGAAATCCAGCTAATGACCTGCCAAAAGAAGGACATTATCAGTAGAATATGAAAGGCCGATTGGTTCTTTCTCCTTTTTCCCCACCAGTGAGTTTTGCATACCAATTGATTTTGCCCACTTCTTTTAGCTGCCTCGCCTTTTTTATCTCTTCAAATGGGTGAGGGTTATCGAATGATGGTTGGCAGTTACCTCTGCGAATTTATGTATTCACACTGTAATCACAACAAGCGTATTGCACCAATCAATTACATCTGTGGCAGGCAAAAACCTTTCAGTCACAAGTTTTTAACAATAGGGGTGGGCCCCAAAAGAACAAGAGCCCACCCATTATTAGAAATTCTTGAAATGATTCCCTCCTAAACCTTTGTTTCCTATTCTGGCAAACAGTATTTCATTTCATTGTTTAGGAAAATGAATACTTTGTCCACACTAGACGACTTTTGTGTAATTTATTGTAATTGTGTCCTTTTTATAATTCAAGTCTTGTTGCAGTTGGATGAAATAACTCGCTAGATACTGAAATGATTTTTTAATGTTTTATATAATAAAAGCGGACAATGGAATTTTCCTACACTTATGTCCATGTATAATGTGTTTTACCTTTCTGCTCTGCAGACAGTTTGCATTTATAGATTTGCTAGGTAAGGCTGGGTTGTATATGTAGCAGAATGATTTTATGTTTCTCAATTTGAGGTGACCCATTAAGAGTCTGAAGTATTGTAGAACTGAAATTCTGACTTGGTTACTGTAATTACATGGATAAAACACGTCACGTTAATGGCTATTATTTGAAATGATAGATTTTGGCTTAGTTGCTATAAATAAATTGTTTAATGACATAATTTTATGCCATAGAGATTCTACCAATTTTGTAGGCCACAGTTTTAGTGACCAGGCTACTTCAATTACTACCTGGAAACTGCAGCAGGAAGCATACAAATGCATGCCTGCATGAATACATAAGTATGAAGTAATTTCTTGTTCACGTTTGTGGAAACAATGTGCACGTGCAGGTTTCCTTATTGGAGAAGTGGCAGCAAAAATGTCATTTATTGATACTGTCCTTTCTTTCTGTTCCAGATTTCCACTGTATCCAAAAGGAGGAGAGAAACTGCAATTTGATTATGGTGTCTTCCTTCTGAACAAAAATATTGCACAGGTACGTTCATTCTAAAAAAGTTATCCTTCTGTATCGGAAGAATAGAGATTGAGAGGGAGGAGGCTGTTACAGGTAGTCCTTGGTTAATGCTGGTAATTGGGACCAGAATTTCCATCGCTAAGCAATGTGGTTGTAAAGCACGATGTCACGTGACCGTGCTGTTTAGCGACGGCAGTTCAGGCAGTCCCCTGTGTTAAGCGGATCTCCATGGGTCATTAAGCAAGGACCTCACATGACCACGACTTCTGACTTTCTGCCCACTTCCCCATTAATTTTGTTTGTGAGAAGACAGCAGAGAAGATCGCAAATCACAATCATGATCATGGGATGCTGCGAACAGGTAAAAATCCAGGCTGGTTGCTAAGTGCCCAGATCACGATCATGTGACTGCGGGGGCGCTACAATGGCTGGAACTTCAAAGACAGGTCATAAGTACCCCTCGTACAGTGCCGTTGCAGGTTCGAATGGTTACTGAACGAGTGGTTGTTAAATGAGGATCACCTGTACTTTTCTATCATCATCACAAAGCCATGGGAGTTCTATACCAGAAGCATCTCCATTTATGTGTTCAGTAATTCTCTGCATATTTTGGCTACATTGGGTGCCAGCTTGGCCAGCTAAAGGTTATCCAAAACTAAGAAACTTCAGACCTCAGTTTAAACTGTTGGTCTTTATTTAAATCATTTATTGATTTAAACTAAGCTTACCAGGATCAGAAATATTAAGGCAGACATGGACTATCAATAGATAGCTCTACTGGCTGTGTGAATTATTCTTAAAGTTAACTGGGAACCCTTTATGCTGGATATTCAGTGGTCTGCGTCTTACAGATTCCTCTGGGAATGATAGGGCCGAGATATACAGAGCAGAATCATTGGAAAATCAAAACATTTCCCTGGAGTGGAGATGGAATCTCTGTGAAATTTGCAGAATAGGAACAATGAAAACCACATCTAATTCCTTGGAGAATGTAAGGTGGAATTATAAGCAGGTCAATACAATTCCTACAGATCATTATGGGCGTTGTTTTGAACTAGAAATGGTATATCAGTCTGCTCCATTTCAGCTAGCTGATAATGGCTTCCATCTGTTTAGTTTAAAAGGACCTCTCTCTTTTTTTTCAAGAAGTCATAACTAATCACATACAGCGATTCCTGTATTATTTGGAACTGAAGAGTTGCAGTTTTTTTCTGATGTAAGGCTGACTCATAGGGCAGTGCAAGAAAAGACTGCTAAGAACTGGAGACTGATTGCAATAAAACTAAGCAACATATAATAGGAATTTGCAAAAGACAAAATTTGCACAGGTGATAGTATAAGTTTGTTTGGATGTCACAGGTAGTCAGAATACACCATATCTCCAGTATGTTAGTACTACCTTGTGCCTGCTGTCTCCTCTGATGAGTAGTTATGGCTAATAAACTACAGATGGCTCCAACTGTGGTTTGTTTGGGGTGAGCACATTTGGAATCTGGAATCATCTTGTGGGTGTACTTACAAAATGACTGCCGTGGAGACCACACAAAATGGTGCCATGGTGTCACAAAGCGCCCATTGATCATAAGGCCAATTGGTGAGGTTGCTGGTTACCACTCCCTCTAGCTCCTTGAGATGTTGTCTACCAGTCCAATCTTGCCTTTGTTTTTATTCTGGCAGGGGGCACATTTCTGAGCAGGACACAGAACTTTTTCTTGTCTACATTGTGGTTTCTTTCTGGAGTAATTTGGCCTCCAAAACTGATCTGTAGGTTGGTAATACTTTCACTGGATGTGTTCAAGTGAAGGGAACCTTTGCCAAGAGTGCTTTCATTTAGATTCCTGCATGAGACACTCAGTGGCCTTAAGAACACCTTCTAATTAATTCTGGGATTATATCTTGTGCCTGATCATCTAATAGCTAAGCAACCTTGACTTTGATATGGCAGTATATCTGTTTATACTCACCCTAGAACAGATCTTGGTGTATATAACAAATTAAAACTGGTCTCCTGTTGCTTGCTTAGACTTATGGACTTTCCTTTTGTTTCACCTTCTTGTCCATAGATCCTGCAAAGCCAGAAATAAGAAATATCGTAGGACACAGCCCAAATTTTTAAAAAATGTTATTAACTAAGAAGTAAAACAAGCAGGACATCATAGCAAAGAGAAGTTGCAAGATAAAAGTCCAGCAGCCAGAAGTAGAGGGCAAAGAATTCAATAATATTTTTTCACTTTAAAAATTGACAAGAAAGCTGTATAAGTAGGCTGATCGTCAAATTGTAGGAAATTAGGAGGAATGAGTGTTACAGTTGGATGGAGTGGTTGGCTGTGCTCCTTCGTTCCATCTGTGATTTGATTTGGGAGGCCAAGGAAGATCTCAGCTTTATTTCCAGTAGTATATTAGAAATAGGAGTGTCTGCAGTCAACACTGATTTAAGCAGCTGTTTATCTCCATTAAGTTTGTGGGCAAAACAGTTGGGTGGGTAGTTTCTCCAGAGTAGGGGAAAATTCTCCAACAGTTTTGTAGACACAGGATTGATGGTAACAGTACCATCACTGCCAAGAAAGCCAATGGAACAGCTGTCCTTAGGTCCTCTCATGGGAAATCAGGGAAACTTCAGACTGATGGAGAAAGAATTGAGCCATGAAAGCCATGATGTTCACACACATCCCTTGGCTATTTTGTCATTACACCAGTGTAAAAATACCACAATCCGTGCATAAGAATTTCTCTCTGAAATTCTTCTTTGAAATAATTTCTAAAGCAAATTCTTCATTGAGAAGGTTGGGGAAAATGCAGCATATCTCTGGCTGCTAGATTGCTGAGGTGAGGGAAAAAATAAATACTTCAAAGAGGTAATACTAAGGTGTAGAAAAAAGTGGGTTAGCCCTTTTGTGTTGAGGTTTGTCCATTGTGTCCATTTTTATTTTAAGTAATTGAAGGACAGGAAGTCCATCAATCCAATGCTTTGATGCTCTCAGGTTGAATTGTTGATTTCCCTTCACTATAGCAGACACGTCAAAGATTTCATGAGACTGGCAGGCACCATTATGGATTTTGGTATGGGAAAAACTTTAAAGAAACAGGGAGCTTTCTGCCATATTCTTCAACACTGAAAACTTGGTTAAATTCTAATGAATGAGGAACTTTTCCTCAAATTGTTCATATTTTTTTATTCTGCATGAATTATTTTTGCTTTCCAAATATAAGACCAATTTTTATTGAATTTAGGGTTTGAGGGAATTAACATCCTTGTGTTATAAAATGTAAGAAAAGCCAATTAAAGTCATAAATAATTGGGTAAAACATCCAAGATGATTTAGGAAAACCTTTTGGTTTATCAAGAGAAATTTGTGTGCTGTGTACTTGTAAGAAGAAGCACAGAGAGCCCACTGTTGAGGAGGCCCTTCACGTTTGACAGAAAATAGAAATTCAGAGCATTGTCTTCATATCATCCTGGGGAAATCCTTACCAAAATAATCCATTCTAAATGGTTCATTCATTAGTCAAATGCCATCTTGTATTTAGTGCTACTCTTGGGATCCTCATTTAGAGAGAGATTGGTTGTCATTTTAAAAATGCAAGAAATTAAAAAGTGATAACTAACATTGATGGCAATTTAAATAATCACATCTGCCCCACTGTAATGTAATGCAGAGGTATTACATTAGGCTGTTGATCTGTTGCTGCACCACAACAAGATTTTCTTGTTGGCCTTGTGAACTTTTAACCATTAAAAAAGCCTCGGTATCTTTCCCCATTGGCCTTGCTTGCTGAGGATATTGTTGAAAGATCAGTGTGGAAGGTGGCCACATAAGATTTCCAAACATTTAGTTTTGCAGCTGTCACTCTTTCAGTCACCCTGACTTCTCAGAAAGGCCAGAAGCATGATACCTCTTCCGTTGGAGTTTGAGCAAAATTTGTGTTAGGAAATGAAAAGCACTGGATAATCCTATGAAATTAAAAGGTAGGCTACAAGGAGCAGTCCAAGCAATAGAAAATCTTACAGGGGCAAATGGGGGGTGGGGGGTGGGATTTATTCTGGTTTGTTCTCTTGTTCAGGTTTTGCCTTCTGTTAGGTGTCTAGCAAAACACATAGCCGGTATTTGTTTTATTGAAGGGAGATTCTCTTGCCTCATTGGATTATTAATTCATACGCTCAGTTCAGGAGTTGATTGTGTATCAGATTGTATTGGGTTTCACTCCAGTTTGAATTTTGTTGACATCTATATTTTAGTACTAGATCTGAACTTCAGACTGCAAGAGCTTTGGGGAAAATCTTTTTTGTTTTGAATGTAATATTAAACCTTTACTTTTCGTGGAAACAAAACTTGTTTTAATTCCAGATTTTCTTGTTGGCCTTGTGAACTTTTAACCGTTAAAAAAAAAAATCCTTGATGTAACATTTAGATTAATGAGCAAGTTCCCTTCAAGTGAGATCATGTAAAGAGAATATACTCATGCAATGAAATCTGATAAACATTGCCTAATGGTATTGAAAAGTTTACATAAATACAAAAGCATAAAGTTTGAGAAGGTTTCCGGTTGTAATGTAAGACTGTCTAGCTGTAAAGAGTTAAAACACTGGTGATACAGGTTAGTGAGTTTTGAGGTTGAAACATTTAAAGACCTCACAGACCTCTAAGTTGCCCTTTTAAACATAAGTGATGTAAAATAGTTTGTTGTGAATTAGAGAACTTTAATGAGTCTACAAATAAAAGAAAAGTTTGTCTTAGCTCCCTCATCATTTTTCTCTCCAGTATTAGAAGGTAACAGGATTTCATATGAGAGAAAATATTTTACTTGAATTTAAACAAAGATCATCAGCAAACCATAATTGGCACCTGATACATCTAATAAGCACTACAGTGCACTGCTGGATCTGAGATCTGTTCCCTAACAGTTATGCGCAGGAGTCTGGTGCCTTTGCCTTCTTTTAATCTCAAGTTCAGGATTTCCAGCTGCTAGAAAGTTGGCATCAAAACGGCAGAAGTAGCCTGTCTGGTGAATGGAACTTGAAA